TCAGTCATTTCTGGAAGGTCCTCGCACTTACGACCCAACTCATTTGTTTGCTTTTAACACTGATCAGCTGTAGGACGGCCCTTTGAAGCCCCGCGGCAAGAGCTTAAACAGTTTTTTCCCCTCTAGTCATCAGCTGGGACTCAGGAGGCAGCAATAGATTGGGGGTGGGACCAAATAAAAGGTAAGAATAACGTGGGTGGGGGGGTTGGAGAACTGGTTTGGTGACGTCATATCATCACTGCTACCGGCTTGGCCGAACCGGACCGAACCGGGAGGAACCCACCACTGGCCCAGCCTCACCTGAGCTGATTAATAACAAATACACTCGAAAAGCCATATGACAGTGAAATATGGAATGCTATTAGAACAAGTAAAACTTTTTAAAAACCTGAACAGTATGCAATTGAATAGAATGCTGTTATATAATAAACTTGATCTTGCAAGCTCATTCATTTTGATTTCAACTCAAATAAAGCCTCTTTACACACTGCCATGATAGGCCTTCTATTTATGTTTGTGTTTATGAATATTTACTAAACTGTAACTTTATCAGTACCTGAGAATGTTCACAAGAAAAGAAAAAGCTCTTAGATGTGGCATGCTTGAAAGTAGCGAAAAGAGGAACACAAAGCAAAGCCTTGTGGCTATTTATGTATACTTAAACCTGGCAGCATTTAATTTCAGCCCTCAGGTAATTCCAGGAGCGCAGTACACATTAATTAGGGTAATAATATTTTCAGTTAATCTACCAAAAGGCTGTAAGGTACAATCTCCCAACGCTATCGGCTGCACCATCTGCAGCTCACATATTTTGATGGAATTTTCTTACGTTCTCCATCAAACTAAATGCACCTTTAAACGAACAGACTGCAGTAGCAATACCTGATAATCGTTTGCCCTTGGACTGCAATACAGACTTGAATGACTTCTCTAATTATACTTCAGTTTGTGAATTACAGTCAGTTGCTTATCAAATGTGATTCTCTGAAACATTTATCCTGATAAAGTTTATAAGGCTTATTTTTTTTTATTTTAGAGTTATATATAATCTTCTTAAGAAAACACAAAAAGAAATTTATTTAATATGCAACTTTATTATATGTGTGTCAGACAGAAATACTGTATTTAACATAATATTCTCAAATACAATAACACCATAAATACATCTTCTGAACATAAATTTCACTGAAAGAACTAGTTTTTAGAGTTGGATTTTAATTGTTTTGTAGATTGTGCACTATCAGCTGCCTTTGCTTGCAAAATTATTTCATCACTTTTCCTCTGAAAGCACCTAATGCATCATTCTGGAATTTACTAAATAATGAATAATCAACCATTTGTCTGCTTGTTTATAAGACTCATCTTCTACATTTACATCAGTGCTCGCACATTTCAACAGTCAATGCAAGAATATTAAATGAAAATCATCATGCAAAGACAATTCAGAAATTTAGCTTCCAATTTAGTGTATGTTCCCAAAGTGATTGATACTTAAGAACTTGATGAAGCCTTCATGGGAACTGTAGTCTAAATATCTTCCAGATCTGCTATATCCTTGTTCTTTAAAGAAGAAAGATTCTTTAAAGAACATTAAGGAAAGTGTTGAATGGACAAACAGTAACACATCAGAGGAAAGTTCCTGATTCTCATAATCATTACGCCCAGAGAACCCAATGATGACACATCTGGAGCTTCATTATTTGAATATATGGAAGTCCCGCACAGGTAGATTAAAGTTAATTCATATGTTAGTCAACTCTTATACTCACTGCCACCTGTGTCAACTTTCCAACTGTGCATTAAGGTCATTACTATATTTCCAAATGGCATAATTGAATTGTGAAAGAACTCAGCTAACTAGGTTAATCATAACCTTTGAAGCATTTTCTGGAAATCCTCAAGGAACTTCTTTTCCAGTAGTTTCCAGTGAATTCATTTGCATTTTTTGCTATTGGGATTAATAAACAAATGATATAATCTTACTTTCAGTAGATATAAGTTCCTGTGAAGCACAGTTATTTATTTAAACTGCTGACATTATTAGACCTGTAAATACAGATGATATGATTTATTTAATATGATCAAGTAAACACTCTGTTGGTTTCAATTTGTAGTAGATTCATCAACAGGAATATATTTCCTTCTGCATTTTCAGGACCTAAGGGTTGTTTATCTTTATTATCTGTTACAATAAAGCACAAAGGTAAAGAGCTCATAGCTCCATGTTCTTTTGTTCTAGTTATTTCTCTTTTAATTTTTCATTCTGTTCTCTTAAGATAAAATTAAAAACCCATTTCAGCTAAGACAAAATTTTAGAAGAACATTTAAAAGAACAATTTAGGGGTTTTAGCTGCCTTTCAAATATACATGATTCAGAACAATGTAGAGTGAGTGTCAAAAGGTGCCTGTGTGAGCATGTACTTCTCACAGCATTGTGTTAATACTGCCTTGCAATTAAAAATACTGAATGAATCTTCCTTATACATGTCTCTGTGTAGTTTGCTCTTAAACTAGAGTCAATTTTTTTATCCTTTTTGCACACAATTTGTTTATTAGAAACAAAACAACTGAAATTTAGAATCTACAAGTACAGTATTATACATTGTTACACTAGTAATTCTCCTGAGCTACTAACATAAATATCTCACTTCTATCAAGAATGTATGTGGGTGAGTGGGTGTATATATGCAAAATATTAATACTTTAATGTTTAGGTCAAACAAGAACAACTCAAGCATAGAGATGAACCAAGGAACTGGTCATATCCTGTTTAACCCCTTCCATAGGGCTCCCAGAATAAACTTTATTAAGCCATGAATGCTTACAGACATTGTCTACTGTCACACAGTTTTGATGAGGCACATGGACTATTTATTTTTATTATTATTTATTTATTAGTCGCATTTTTATGCCGCCCAACTCCCGAGGGACTCTGGGTGGCTAACAACAAAGAATAAGACAATGTGAACAATATCCAATACAAAAGTTAAAAAAAAACATTAAAACCTATACATTCCAATTCGTGGCCGGGTCTCGCAAGATCACCGTAGCGAGATCAACGGCCCCAGGCCTGCCGGAAGAGCCAGGTCTTCACCGCTTTCCGGAAGGCCAGTAGGGTGGGGGCAGTCCAGACCCCAGGGGGTAATTGGTTCCAGAGAGAGCCGGGGCAGCCACAGAGAAGGGCCTCCCCTGCGGGCCCGCCAGCCAACATTGTTTAGCTGATGGGACCCGGAGGAGACCGACTCTGTGGGATCTTACCGGTCGTTGGGAGCTATGCGGTAGAAGGCGATCTCCAAGATAGCCTGGCCCTGAGCCATGTAGGGCTTTAAAGGTAATAACCAACACCTAGTTTGACTAGTGTCAAACCAAACATGGTCGAACTGTGTTGTTATGACACATAAACACCTTCCTGTGGAGTTAAACAAGAATGCAGATACGTTTTTAATAAGCTGGAGTGAAAAAGTAGAACAGGAAATAATGCTGAGAGTTTGTATTACTAATACCTACCTGAAACAGTTCCTAAACTACTTCGCAATACTGGCAGCCATCCAGTGCCTCAACCAACAGGTCTGGCTTATCTTTCCTTTTTCATTAATGGCTCAACCACACACTCTATCACACACACAGACACACACACATTTTAGTTGCCTGCGTTTTTTCCTCAAGCAGTCCAAAGTATCTCCACCACACTTAGCTACATTAAGGGGATAGGACATTGATTTTTTTTTTTTGTTTCTACATTGTAGATTACAATACTGTACAAGATTCTCGCTGGACCAGTTCAAAGGCCAAATTAAGTAAGGCATTTGGTCTCCCAGCGGAATGTTTGTAGAATACAACTAGCCTAAAGGCGGGACATGAGCATAATAAAATCCTCTTGCAATGTTCTTCAGCAACTGGGATTCATTCCTGCCTCCAAAACAGAAAAAGAGACTTACATTACTATAAATGCAAAACTAAGGGAAATAAAGTCTCATATTTTGAAGTCATCATTACTATTATTGTGTTAAAAGCTTTTATGAGCGGGAAACCGGTTAGAATTGTATTTCCCTTTTGCACTGAGAGTCAAGAATCAACTAGCTTCAGAAGACACCGCAGTTTCCTATGCAAGTATTCACCCGGGGATGGTATGTCTGTATGTTTCCACACCCCCACACTCACGCCCACTGCATGACTACAAGGCACGTCGTGTGATTCAAAGACCGCGGGAATTTTTTTTTTTCTTTAACCAACCTCTCTTCTCTCATTGCGACCTTCCAGGCAATTCCAAGGCGCCGATTCTGGACCACAAATGATCCTCCCTGATCCCCGGGAAGCCTCCGGCACTCTCGTAATCCCCAGAGCGCCCGCGCTTCCCGTCACGTCCCAACCCGAAGCGCAAAAGCCGCCACCGCATCACGACATTGCGCGCAAAAAAAAAAAAAAAAAACCCGCCGGGCCGGCTCCGCTTCGCCCGCGCGCAACCACACGTCGTCTCAAGGTCACTCCCGCGAGTGGGGTTTTTTTTCTTTTTTTCCCGCCTCCCGGAGGAAGGAGACTCCAGCGCGTGGGATGGGGAACTGCGCGGTGGGGCTGGCGGCCAGAGCCGGCGCCGAGGCCCTGAAGAGCCGGACTTAAGCAACAGCTTCCCTGCCGCCAACCCAACCCCCACCCCCACCCCTCACAACCGCCTGCGCGCCCGCCCGCCCGCCCGCCCGGTAGAGAGAACTGAAACTGCTCCATCTTCTCGGCGGCCCTCAGCCAAGGAGCTCCTTTACGTGGCGCCCCTCCCGAGGCGGCGGCAGCAGCAGCGCCGGGCTGGAGCGCTTGGCTGTGCCAGGCTCCGGCTTGAAGTGACGCGGTGCAGCAACGGCGGCGGTTCCCACTACAGTGACGGAACAGGAGCCCAGCGACGAAAGCTGCTCCGGGAAGCGCAGAAGACATAATCAACCGTACGTACCGCCGCCTTGCAACCCGTCCTGCTCTCCCCGCCCCCCGGGCCGGTGGCGCTCGCCTGGGAGCCGCCCCCTTCTCCTCCCCTTCGCTCCCCCTCCCGTCGGCGAGGTCCGCGAGGGTCATGAAGTTGATCGGGACCTATAAAAGCCCCTGAGAAAGAACCCCGGGTCTGTCACCCTCGGGCAAGGCAGAGCAGGCGACGGCGGTACCCGGCAGAGCTGACCCATCACCACCATGTCCTGGGGCTACGGCAAAGAGAACGGTGAGTGAGGTCCTCTGCGGAAGGTGAGGGTCATCATCCTCGGTCCGGGCACGATCTCGGATTGCGGAGGACCCCCCCGATCCCCGAGGCGCTCGGGGCTCTGGGAGCGGGCTGGTGCTTCTGGGGCAAAAGCCAAAGGAGAGCGCTAACCCCGCTGTCGCTTGCAGTAGTACCTGAGCTGGCTGCTTGTTCCGGATAGGCTGCGTGCTCCCGGTCAGAGCTCAAAGGAAGCCTGACCTTCAAGAGACCTGGGAGAAAACGGAGCTTCTGCCCCGCGCTAGTTCTGCTCCATATTAATTGCAGCGAAGTAAAACATGGGAGCGAATGGTGGTGAGATGGTGTGTGTGTGTGCTTGGTCTTTTTAGCCTTTGAGCTGGACTGAGAATGAAGATGGGAACTAATAAGATTGCCAAGTAGGAGAGTTCTGAGTAGATGAAAGTAATCCATCAAAGGTATCAGGTGCAATAGATGAGGAGTTTGGTAGGCTATCCTTCTCCAGCCATTGGACCTTCAGAGGGACCCAATTACAGTAGATGGGGCTGTGTCTACTAGGAATGATGGGAGCTGTGGATGCCTGAAAGGCAACAGGTTGGGAAAGGCTGCTATAGACTCTTCTCACCTGAACTTCCACCTGCTGTATTCCTCCTTCCAAGCAGAACTCACAAAGAGTTTTGGAACATACACTGTGTTGCAACTGCAATGACACTTGTAAGGCAAAGGAACCTCACTTCTTCCAGTTTCTATTTGGTAACTGAAATGCCCAGGAGAGGATTTTGTGGTATGATCAGGAACTCCATTAGAATGTGGACTTAACATTCCAAGACTTGCTTTGCCATTTCCAAGCACAGTGATTGTTTGAGATGGGAATTTTGTTCCCCGCTAAATTGAGAAACAAGTTTGCTTGACTAGAATTGGGTAAGCAACTGTTTTTTTCTCTATAATACACTGGGAAATGGAAAGCTGTTATTTTTATTTGTACAACAAAATCATGGGAAGGAAAATGTAAATGTGCCATCCAGTGTTTTGCTTTGCAAAGAAGGGATGACCTGTGAATTTTGGTTGGTGTATGTTAAATCTCCTTGAACTTGATACACCAATTTAAATAAGATAGGTGGGCTTCCAGTTTGTCACTGCTCAGATCATAAGCATCCTTAGCTTTTAATTCCCAACAATACCTTAGTGGAGAAATCTGAGTGATACTGTTTAATTCATCTCAAAAACCCTTCAGGCCCTGTGTCCAAGTTTGCTACATCTGTGCAAGAATAGATTCAAGTTTAACCCTCCCTCCATCTCTTCCCCGCCCCCACTAGGTATTTCCTCATTTTCCATCTGCTTCTCTACGTGATCTTTCTATAATTTGTGCTTCAAATTCTATCTGGCCAAAATAACTTCGTTCTTTCAAAAATGTTAAAAATCTTTTCAGGTATCTTTATGTTAGGAGAAGAGCCAGGTTAGTCAATAGTAGCAAAATTCAGGAGTCTGTAGCACCTTTTGTAGCTAACAAATTTTATTAAAAGGCACAAGCTTCAGCTCACTTCCTCAGATGCATAGACGGATTAATGTCAGCCCTGTGAGGTAGACCAAATCAGGCGCCAGAAGAAGTTTAGAACTATACTTTTTTGATATTGGCTGTAACAGTAAAAGTTTGCTTGTCCCCCTCCCCCCGGTCAAATTTCCCTGTTATAACCCAGGGAATTCAGGGGAGCCAGTCTGAGTCTTTTCTAATATTTTCCCACCTCCTTAGACTTAATGCATGCTTATACACCTGTTGTTGCTTTAACAGCTTCTTGACTTCTCCAAGGTCATCTCCTACAGCTAGACTGATGAAATGAACTGCAGCTTGTGCCTTTTAATAAAATATTAGTCATAAAAGGTGCTTTAATCTTTTATCTTTTTCTTCCTGATCTTTTATCTTTATCTTCCTGATCTTTTATCTTTATCCAGGACTCAGATTGTTGGGGGCAATATGTTGACTCTGTAAACTGCTTAGAGAGGGCTGTAAAAGCACTGTGAAGCGATATATAAGTCTAAGTGCTATTGCTATTGCTATCTTCCTAATTTTCAACTGCCTTAAGACATTAAGCCTTTTACCCTCTTTATTTCCCTTTCGTGCTGTAGGGGTTTCATTCTTGCACTTTTCTTTCTCTTTTTTTAGGACCTGCTTTTTGGCATAAGAACTTCCCTGTTGCCAATGGAGAACGACAGTCACCCATTGCGATCCAACATAAATCTTCCAAATTCGACCCTGCACTGAAGAGCCTGAACATCACATACGATGCATCTGCAGCAAAGAAGATAGTCAACAACGGGCACTCCTTCAATGTGGTCTTTGATGACTCTGGAGACAAGTGTGGTTAGTATTTGATCTGTTTTCTTAGGCTTAAAGCTTTGTGGGAGAGATGGAAGCAGCAGCAAAGGGGGAGGGCAAAGGACTGACTAGAGAAACTTAATTGATGTATGGCAGAGAGATTTTTTTGTTTCTTTATTTTAACCAGAGTTGCATATATCCAGAAAATGATAAAAGTCAATTTTTATGGATGATTCTCTCTCTCCCCCCCCCTCCCTCAATAGCAGTAGGTCTTCTAAAACCAGTGAATCATGTTGTACTATTAGAACAGCAATGGGGGCAGGCTATATATCACTTCAGTGATGATTCAAATACTGTAATATTAAGAAGTTCAAGAAGTTACCACTAGAGAAGAAGTCTAGAGAAACAAGTATTCCTTTCCCCATTTAACATTTTCTGGATATGTTGGACTATAACTTCCATTAGCCACTGTGAATAGTGATGAAAGGGGCATTGGGAGTTATTAGCTCTGCCTGTAATCTATTGTCCTTGCCATCTGGAAATCAAATACCAGTAGCATTGCAATCCTATATTCATTCCAAAGATAATCCATAGCAGGCTTCTTTCCCAGATACATTTGTACAGTGTTGCAAACATATCTGAAATATTGTATTTTTATAGTCCAACAAGAGATATATTTTATATACTAGGGATATGCCATGCAGTGGGTCTGAAGTCAAAAAGATTCTTTGGGATAAGTATGGCCACATGTACCTCCTTAAAGAAGATTTCTGTTTTCTTGGTTTAACATTGATAATATGTGGTCCCAGCAAAATACACATTTGAGCTAAGAAGGCACTGACAATGTACAAGAAAGGGGTTTAGAGAGGGCTTGGATGTGCTATTATTGCCTCTTTGACTCAAACACTCCTGGGATTTCCTAGGATTATGCAATTACTCTGCAAACCCAGAAAAGGATGCATTGTATTTAAACAGCTGTGGAGAGTTATAGCATACCCCAAAGCATCTTTTCAGCTTCACATCCAAAGTATCTAGAACCAATTTAGTCTAGTGCAGTTATGGTGAAACTTTTAGACACTGAGTGCCCAAAATGTGCATGTGCACATACCCAAACTGAAAGGTGTGCATGGACATGCGCATGCACCAACATGCACATGCACGCACATGCACATGCATGCACATGCATGAATATGCACATGCATGAACATGCACAGAAATGCACGCATGCATGCACGGACATGCACTCATATGCAGCAGAGATCCTAAGACCAGCTGGCTGGTGGGGGGCATCCCAACATCGCAGTGCGGCAAGAGGTAAGATCTTTTTCTTTCGTGAGCTTCTGTTTCATCGTTTGCAGGGAAACAGAAGTTCACGAAAGAAATGCCATGGAGATGTGACCTGGGCAACGGCATGCGTGCCAGCAGAGAGGGTTCTGCGTGCCACCTCTGGCACATGTGCCATAGGTTCACCATCATGGGTCTAGTGGTTAAGGTAACAGGATAGAAACTGGGCAGCCATCAATTCTGGTCCTGCTTTAGATATGAAAAATAGCTGGGTGACTTTGGGCCAGTCACTCTCAGCTCAATTCTCACAGGGTTGTTGGGAGGAAAATAGGAGGAGGAAGGAGTATTAGATATGTTCGCCAACTTGAGTTATTCATTTATTTTAAAAGGTGAGGTGTAAAATAACTAAATAAATTACATCTGCCTATACAGGTAGTCCTTGACTTATAACAATTCATTTAGTAACCGTTCAGAGTTAAAACGGCACTGAAAAAAGGAACTTACAAACATTTTTCACACTTACGACCATTGCAGCATTCCCATGGTCACATGATCAAAATTGGATGCTTGGCCACTGGTTCATATTTATGACGGTTGCAGCGTCCTGGGGTCATGTGATCATCTTATGTGACATTCTGACAAGCAAAGTCAATGGGGAAGCAAGATTCAGTTAAAAACAGAGTTATTAACTTAACAACTGCAATGATTCACTTAACAACTGTTTCAAGAAAGATCATAAAATGGGGCAAAATTCACTTAACTAATGTTTCACTTAGCAACATAAATTGTGGCCATAAGTTGAGGATTACCAGCATTTCATCATACATGTTGACTTTCTTATATTCAGCCTGAATTCTATGGGTATATATTGTTTTCCAAGCAATTTAGAAGTTGTGTGATGATATCTCTGTGAACAAAAGCCATTTATGGAACTTGGATCTTTTGTACTGTAACATTCCTGTATTTTTTCCTGTGGAAAAAAATTTAAGATAGATAATAAGTATAGCCGAGGGTTTGGATTTAAAAAGTGGAGGGGCATAAAAGGGAAAAATAAAATACTCATTTGATAATTTCCAGATCAGTGGAACTAAAACTAAAAGTCAACAGACTTTTGTATTGTTTTGGGGGAGTTTTATGAATGTTGATATATAACATTTTCCATAAGTATAATTTCTTTTGGAATCAACATTAAGTGGAAGCTCATTTTATGACAAGGATCATCCATTATTCAGGAACATATATGTCATGATGCCAAGATAAGTGATTCTAATTGCCATTAGGTTTCAATTGTCTCCATTTAATATTCTTTAATTTTTTTAATTTTAAAAAAATAAGAAAAAAAATGACATTTCCCCCACATTTCCATATGTTTCAGTTAGTCATTCTTTGCTGGAGGATGTTCTATTCACAATAATTCTAAATTAACTCCCTCTTTTTAGCATTTTGTAAGTTCTCTGTTCTTTATGACGAATCTGCAATTGCTGGCAGTGCAAAGCTGATCTTAGGAAGAGAAGTTGGAATGTTTGCTTTTTAATCATCCTGATTTGCCAATGCAATCTTCTTCCCCTTTCAGTATCCATGAATGAGCATTCTAATATGAGACATGATGACGCTAGAAACAAATGGACTGCTTTGTCTCTCAGCACTACTTGGTTTGATTTGTTTAAGCAAATGTTCTGTATTTTCTCCCCATGTTGGCAGCTTCATTGAGGGGACACCTTCAAAGAACCTGGAACAGCTTGGATTTGTAAGCTTTCCAAACAGCATTGAAAATAGCTGTGCAGAGGCTTTAGCTTGCTTCTTTTAATATTTAAATGGACTACTCTGGAAGAAAATATGTTGTGCATCGTAGCCAAAGTGTGTACAATCCTTTTTACTCTTAGCATTCCCTGTAATAAAAATAAAAATACCCCTAAATACAGGCCTCACTGCAGAATCTCTTTTCTGACTGGAATAGGTTTTAGGTTCTCACTCACAATTACCTTCTCCGGTCTGTGGTTACTGCAGACAGAAATCAACTAACTTGCATCCAGGCCCTTTAATGAAATTCAGTGTCTGAAATACGACAAGAAAACTACATGTAAAATATAAATAGCAAGGAGGCCCATTTTATGTTTCTTCATGTAATAGATTTTTTTGCATCCTTTTTATTATCTCAGCCTCTAGTGTGTTTGCATGCATGAGTAGTCACAGTATAAAATGTATATATTTACATATTTTGTTCTGCTTGTAAAATTGGTGATTATTTAGAAAGATTTTAACTTTGGTTGTTTTGGGCAGAAAAACAGAGAGAGAAAGGAAAAGGTAGCAGTGGAAATGTAGGTATAAGCTATGATTCTTGAGGAATGAGCAGGAATTTGAGATTTTTGTTCACAATTTTGAGGGAAAGAGAGGAAGTCTATACTATCCATATGGACTCGGGGTGGGCTGCTGGGAGTTCGCAGGGGTGCGAGAGAACCTCTAGCTAAGATTCTGTGCAGTTCGGAGAACCCCCAAATCCCATTCCTGGCTGGCCCCACCTACCCCACCCCTCCCCTCCCAGGAGTCCCCACGCGATCCCTTTTGGATGCAGGTAGGTGCAGGGCGCGTGTGGAGTCCGGGGAGGGCAAAAACATCCCTCCACCACCATGGTGCAGGACGATGACTAGGACACACCCACCATAGACACGCCCACCCAGCAACCAGGCAGAGAAACCCATGCTAAAATTTTTGAACCCCACCCCTGTATGGACTTGCAGCTAATCCTTAAAAAACAGAGACGAGGCTCATATTTCTGCAAGAATTACTATATTTTGCATTAGGAGATATGTAGGAAATAATCTACAGCATGCATGTGGCACAATTTTATAACTGTTCCTTCCCTCCTAGAAAAGCAATAAGGCCAGTGATAGCCAGAAAACTGCTGAAAATTCAGAAATTCAGTATTCTAAGAGGACAGAGGGATCTCTGTTGTTATCCTTCAGACTGAGACTCAAGTCAGCTAGCTGGAGAGAGTAACAATGTGACAAAGATTTTTTTCAAGCCAATCCTGTCTCATGGCCCACTTTCTCTTTTCTGCAGATTTTTTTTAAAAAAAACTATAAATATGGGAAGGAGAAGAAAATAAGTATATCAATGTTTTTTCAGTCTCCCATATCTTGTACATAGATCCCACATATATTGGAATTAGACTGTTCGGTTCTCAAAATGACTAATTTAAAGTCCATTTTCTTTTTGAAACACCAAGATGCTACACCCAGCATTACAAATTTAAGACTGTAATGCATTACCTTGAAAGACGAGAGAACATTCTGTGACTATTCTATTATTTATACTAGAACATATGTTGATAATATTTATATTTTTTATCCTGACTACCAAAGTTTATAACTGTTGTAGGAATCAAGAAACTAGTGAAGGATAATATAATGAAATTTAGAAATTTTTATCTGTGCTGCTTTGTCACAGATGTTGACTTTGTAATTCTTTTACAATTAGCCTGATGATAGAGAGGGCTTGTCACAGAGTCCTTTAAAGTCCATGTATAACATTTAGCGATCTCTTCTTTGCAGTATCAGAAACATTGCAAATCCTCAAATGGTAAAATAATGGATATAGATTATTCATCAATTAAACAGTCACCTTACAGAATGCTGATAAGTTTCACTGTCTTCCTGGGGTTAATTTTGCCAATATTTTGATTGGTCTGTTGTTTTTGCAAAATGTGTATGCAAGGTAACATTTGTAATAATGTTTAATGCTTCTTCAGTTTCTCTCTCTCCCCCTTCCCCCCAACTTTGCTGTAGTCTCTTTAACTATGTCTGGTAATTGCTAGATAATAAACTGCATCAGAAATTAAGGAATCCTTTGCTATGTTATATTACACTGCTTAAGTGTAATCCTTTGCAGTGTAATATGTAATATGTTATATTACACTGCTTAAGCATTGTGTTTACATAATGTTAATATTTATTTTTTTATTTGATTTGAAAATGTGTAAAGCAGATCCTCAAAATCTAGTTTGAGATCCACTGGAACAGATCGTCATAGTGATCCAACATTGTATGGAATGGATCAGAGCATATAAACCTCTTTCCTTTAATTGCTTCTCTAAACCTTTAATGAATAAACCATTTTGTGCACGTGCAGAAGTCAGAGCTGGACTGGCTCTGCCTTGAAGCTGCAAGGTGGCACCTGTTTTTTTTTCTGATGCTTGGTTTTGACCAAAGTGCCAAGACAATAACCCCTGCATTGCACAAGCAATTTAACCAACTTGGTGCCATTCAGTTTATGTTGGCTTTAAACTTCCAGAATTCTCAACCAACATAGCTAGCCCCTCCTACTTTTATTTTCAGGGAAAGAAAATTTAAATTTTATGGAAGTTTGTAATTGTATACTATACCATTCTGTAATTCTATACTTACTATACCATACTGCCATGGTGGCACAATGGTTAGAATGCAGTACTGCAGGTTACTTTTGCTGACTGCTGGCTGCCAGCAATTCAGCTGTTTGATTCTCACTGGCTCAAGGTTGACTCAGCCTTCCATCCTTCTGAGGTCAGTAAAATGAGGATCCAGATTGTTGGGGGCAATATGCTGGATCTGTAAACGGCTTAGAGAGGGCTGTAAACCATTGTGAAGCAGTATATAAGTCTAAGTGCTATTGCTATTCACTTGAGTAATTTTTAAAATCCAAGCATTGTTAGAATCAGCTTTGTGTCCCAAGCTGTACTTTATTATCCTATGTTGTTTGATGGGTGGTCTACATTTGCTCCTATGATCACACAGTGTGAATTCTGCTTTCTTGAGGTTATGATAAAACTGGTTTATTTGTGCATATGAATAGTAAATCAGTGATTAAATAAGGGCAAGCTGATTGTGATATTAGTCCATAATCCATTGTAGATAAAATCAATAAAATTAACCAAAAGCTTTTCAATTATACACACACACACACACATACATATCATGGAAAAGATCAAAAGTTCACATATGGCTATTGGGATCACTTCAGTCTTATATACATGGGTCATTAAGGTCCAATTAGTACTTAATTATCTAATTGATTTTAACTTGTATTGTTCTAGGTAAATTATTCTCTACGTAATTAATACTTTTTGAAGCATGTTTTTATAATATATTTTTATTAATAATTCAGTGCAAAGCTGAAACATACAAGGATGCAGAAAAAAATAATTTACTGAAGATATCTCTTTTACTTTGGCAGTTTTGTAAGCTTCGATAAAACAGATGTTTTAGAGGGATTACTCATGCAACTCCCTTATAAAACTACTCCCAAAATATCCAATAGAACCACACATAACAGTTAAACCTCACCCAGGCTGAACTTTGTGATATAGTCAGTGGCTATCAACCAAGGACAGCCTATTCCTTTATAAGACCCTTTTTCAGCATGATTTTGGAAGTTCTCCTCATGCCATAAGTAACATAGGCATAGAACAGGGGTCTCTAACCTTGGCAACTTTACGACTTGTGGACTTCAACTCCCAGAATTCCTCAGCCAGCATATGCTGGCTGAGAAATTCTGGGAGTTGAAATCCACAAGTCGTAAAGTTGCCAAGGTTGGAGACCTCTGGCATAGAGTATCTGTAGAGTTTTAAGGCTATTAAGACAAAATTGTCCAGAAGGACAAGACCCATCCTTGTCCACCCAAGGACAAGGCAATCCTTGCACCAGACATTTTTCTTCAATTTCTTCATCATAGTTTTTATTGGGTGAAATAACACTAATTCATCATTTGAATTGTCTGATTTTTATCCTAAATGTAATGTAGTAGTAATAATTTCTTTTCCACATGTAATATATGTGAGACTGCATTGAAAGCGGGACTCTTTAATTATAATAACTAAAGACACCCAATGAGTGGCTAACTATTCAATAAACAGTTTAAGTATGTTGTGTGAATACCATCATAGCTTATTTATATAACAGCTATCCTTTTTTATGCATGGAATCAAAAACTGTGGTTCAGTATGACTTTTTAACTCGTACTCAAGCAGCCAAATAATTATTTACAGGTTTATGGGAGGTTGTTTCTACCTGCAAGCGATACCATTCTAGGAGATAGTCCTATATGAAACTAGCCTAGCTCTCCTATGTCATATGAGGACTTGAGATACGGGTATTTTTGTGTCTTTAAATAGAACTTCCCCAAGGTACATTTAGGGTAATTGTTGACAAACAGCCAGTTAGTAATATCTATAAATACGGGCCATTTAGGAAACGGTTTTTCCCCACAAATTATCTCTTAAAGTTAAACCTTGTGCTGCTATCAGTCTCCTGCTGACTTCTCTTAGATAACCAGCTGCTGTTTATCAGAAGAAATTACTAAAAGTACATTTTTAAACATGTGAACAGTTCTAGAGGTTCTAAACTAGGAAGGTAAGATAACTATCATGCCTGTAAATTTCTGCTTGTGCTAATTCAGAACCAAATATTACCAAATATAGAAAGTGTGCTTGTGAGAGATAGCATTTAAAAAAAAAAAAAATCCTCTCCCAAAATGTCAATTTGCCCTGTTGGTAGGCTGTTGGATAATGATTAGAATTCACCCTAATTGAACTCAATAATGGTCTGTGGGTAAGTGAATGACAAAACAGCCTAATCCTTTATAATCCTTACTAGTTTAACTCAGGTCAGCCGTAATACAGAATTTTTAAACATGAAATATTTGGGGGAAATTTCTACTCCTGTATAATAATTTTTTGGCATAATCCACATATATATCCAGGCCATCTGCCCTAGTTTTTGAGAAACTGTAGATGAACTGTGTTGTACAGAAATACTTTGGCTTGTATTTTTGTAGAATTCTGTCTCTTTTCTTACTCCGTGATTGAAGAACACCAGATAGCAAATCAAGTTCTATTAGTAGTAGCCATTTGAGGGAAAATTATGTTTTTGAAAGCACTGAAATGCTCCAAATCTTGTAGGTATGCAGGGCCAGCTGAGAATTAGACTCATCAAATGTCAAAAATGTAATTGCTTTCTTAGCATGCAGATGTTCCTATGAAATTAGCTCATATTAAGATTCAGGATCACAACGTGTTTTGCATGTGCAGATTATGATCTTTAAGAGATTTTTATCAGCCTTTTAAATGTCTCCTCAACTGATATGCAGGAGAAATTCAATTTATCACAGCAAGATCATATTTGGTTAATGTGCTATTTTAAAGTCAGTGGGAAATTTGCTATGGGGGCAAATTATTGTATCTTCATAATTTTCAACTCTTTGTCCTTATCACATTGCTTAACCTGGCAAAGACATTAGTGAAACTGACTCAATGTCACTAAAAATTGACTCAATGTAAGAAAGCAATTCAGACTTTTTGTTACAAGGCATAGGAACCAGTTTATGGGCAAAGTTTACAACAACTATTTTTTATTTCAGTGCTGAAAGGTGGCCCAGTTGAAGGAATTTACAAATTAAAGCAGTTCCATATTCATTGGGGATCCTGTGAAGGCCAAGGTTCTGAACACACTGTTGATGGGGTGAAATATGATGCAGAGGTAAGGAAATTCATTAATTTCCAAGTGTTTATTTTTGTGTGTGTGTATATGTGTGTGTTCACTATTGAAAAATATACTGAAATATATAAGAATTGGATATTAAATATATAAGAAATGGATGTTGGGATGGGCCAAATTAATATTTGATGGCAGCTAATTTCTAATCAATACTTCTTTAGCAACTCATCCAGTAACATGGACCACATATAACTAATATTATTATCCTGAAGTGTCTTATGCTTTTCAGAAAGTAACTGAGAAAATCTAGGCTATTTGTGGCCTTCATGAATATGTGCCCAGATTTTTGCTGCTAAAATTTGGTGGCAAAATGAGCAATCATTAGTGATGCAACATTTTTTTAATGTGTTTATTAAAAATACAAGTTTTTTTTCAAGTTAACAAAAAGTTGCACTGTCAAAATTTAGCCATTTTCCAGCCAAATTTTGGAAGCACAACTTTGGACCATTTGGGAAGTTTTGAATCATTTTTAAAAGCACTGAAAAATCAGCTCTCCAAATAATTTGTGCCTTTTCTTATGATATCACCACCATTTCACCAATGCCACTGGTAACTCTCTAGATGATGCAACAAGTTGTCATTTCTGATTCTAATAAATTTGCCCATATTTGATCTAGCTAACATAGTTGTTTTACATTCATACTTACTGTATGTAATTCATACTTACAGTTTAAGATATACTTATTTTACAGGCCTGTCAGTCACTACTAAAAAAATGATACAGATCTATCACTTTGATGATAAATGCAATGGATACATTACCACTTCTAAGAGGAAGTGCCCTAGCTTAGACTCTTTAGGTCCGCCTTCTCCTGTCTGGTACTCTGATACTCCTAGTGAGGATGAGATCCCAATGCAGAGTAACAACTAGAAGGTCAACAGGTGGGAAAAGTTGCTGTATGACACTGAATGCAGTAACTATCAGTTTGAATTGAGTCCAGAAGAAAATTAGCAGCCAATGGACATGGTAGAAAACCAGTGTGTAGTAAAAGCTTTCAGAGATCATTTTTGCTACTGCATTTTGCACTGTTTTTTCATAGCTTTTGGCATTTCTTTTTCGATCTACCTGATCCTTCTCAAATTTATATAAAGTATAGCTCTTGCTTTCATAGAAATATCTCCATAAAAGGCTTGGCAGTCTGCTCACATATTAGTAGTGGTCTGAATGGCATGAGAAGACAGTGTGAGAAATATAGTTGTATTTGAATATTTTATTGCATGGGAAAAGGAACTAACAAGCCAGTGCTTTCTTTTAATGTCTCTGAAATCAAGATACTCTTTTCAGGCTAAAGATTAATATATAATTTATTGAGTTCCTCTGTTTAAAGGAAAGACTATTAATGGATGTTCTCTGTCTTCTGTATTTTTCTTGATTCCAGCTCCACTTAGTGCATTGGAATACAAAATATGGAACTTTTGAAGAAGCTGTGAAGTATCCTGATGGCCTGGCAGTTGTGGGAGTGTTTTTGAAGGTTAGTATCTTTCTATTTCCTTCTGCAATTTTTGCATTTTCAGAATACTTATCGAGCAAGTTGACTTAGTGCTTTACTCAGAAGTGAATTAACTGCCTACAGTCATTCCAGATGTTTCTATGATAACATTGTTCCTTTTATATTAATTTCTACTGAAAACCAAAGATGTCAGTTAAATTAAAAAAAAAACAATCTTAAATTTGAAAAGGGTCTAAAAGTCAGGTGGCCACATTTTCTGGTCCGCTGCAGGATTATCAGAAATTGACTTAATTTATATGCAGCATGATTCCAAACCAAGGGTGGGTTCTACTTAACTTTACTATCGGTTCGCAACGGGGCCGCGCGCATGCGCAGAAGTATTTTCATGATGTCAGGGTCAGTGAGCGGAGCCTCCTGCCGGTTTTACTACTGGTTCTATAGAACCGGTGCGAACTGGGGCAACCCACCACTGCTCCAAACAAGCTACACAGTTTGCAGAGAAAATAAGCCTTTATGATACAAGTGAGTGAACAGAAAAACAGATACTTACCAATAAAGCTTCTTACCTAAAAATCACAAAGATCCAGTCTTAACGATGTTTAACAGATTCTTGCAACATATTGTAATCAAATATAAGGTACAAGTACAAAATTCATATGCGTACTCATCTGTGTAAAATAATAAACAACAAAAATTATATATATTTGAACTGTGGTTATGCATATTTTTGTTATACTTCATTGTATATATATTCTATATTTTTATGTCACTCTATGCAGAGTTACATTCCATTGCAATTGGCAAATTTGCTTTTCCAAATGTATTTCAGAAAAATGGTAATAGAGGATAAACTGAATCAATATTGTTTTAGAAGCTGTATATTGATTTTATTTTTGAATTAATATTAACTTATTGGAAGGAGGTCAGTGGGCCAAATTTAAGAACTTCTTCAGTTGATAAATTACATAAACACATGTACATGGGCACAAGGCATAACTCAAGTTTCTCTTTATCCTTTTATTTCACAGGTAGGAAGTCCCTGTCCTGGACTACAGAAAGTTGTTGATGCACTAGATTCCATTAAACACAAAGTAAGTGCTTCTTTTTCTTGATAGCCAGGAATATCGGAGCTGTGAATTTTATTATTCTTTGAAAAAACAGTACTGGGGGGTGGGGGATGTTGAAATAAAATTGCCTTTAATCTGTATTTTAAATGGCAATGGTTGTTTAACTATGTCTTGTTTGAAAATGCTATATTTAATCATAGCAGACATGTTTACTTTCCATTTCTACCTACATATATTAAAAGCTTTTGTTCACTTGGTATCCCTCAGGGTGGAGGTAAAATTACTAGAGTTGCATTAAATCACATTTACAAAACAATATCTTAGCATACATTTTATCATGGACTTCAACTCCTAGAATTTCTGTCTGGGAAATTCTGGGAATTGAGTTGAAATCTATACATCTTAAAGTTGGCAAGGTTGAGAAACACTAAACTGGATTGTTTTATCAAATTTCTCTCTTCTAGGAGAAAGAGGCTAACTTTACCAGCTTTGATCCCACTGTCCTCCTACCTGCCTCTCGTGACTATTGGACTTATCCAGGATCACTGACCACACCACCTTTGCTTGAATGTGTCATCTGGATTGTTCTGAAGGAGCCTGTATCTGTGAGCAAAGAACAGGTAAATTCATTTGCTTCAAACATTGTACTCCCCACCTTTTGCCACTAGGCGTTAATAATCTCCCCTCTAATATCTAAATAGAGAGCATTGGCAAATGGCTTTTCTGATTGAATTTCACAGTGCTAGACTTAGCAACATGAAGCTGCTTTCGCTCCTACACCACATGTATATGGACACACGGACACACACATGTAAACACAGACATGCAAACATACAAATACACAGTGTATGGCTATGTAGGCTTTCAATCTTGTGTATTTACGTTAGACGTGCCTTCAGGTGTAGTTGGCTCAGTGTGATTTTGCCTGATGGCATGGATATTAAGCACTTTTAATTGCTGAAATGTGTCAAGGTTACCAAAAAATGAAGACTGGGATTTAGACAGTCACATTGTGATTGAGATGCTCGCCTCCCATTTGCAAGGTTGAGAGTTCAATCCTAGGTAATGGTAGATATTTCTCTCAGGGCACAAAGAAAAAATAACAGCTGTGAACTCTACATAGGAGTCAGGAAGGGCATCTAGCCAGTAATCACTCAGTTCCACCAAGTTGCCCCGAGACTACCCTGACTAGTCCCGAATTAAGCAACTTTATTTTAACTGCTTTGTATTATTTTGTAATCTTTTATTATATTGGAAGTTACTCAGAGTCACTGTATCAGTGGGATGGGACCAGCATAGTTCACTTCATTGTGTGTGCATCAATCATGTCACATGTGTGAGTGTTTTGATATGGATGAATGTACAGAATAACATCTACGTACACATCTATGCTTTGGCAAATTAAAATTAGACATGAATTCTCCTCTTCCCTTTATCATTTATCGGTCTGTATAATTCAGGCACATGCACAAATATTAAAATACCACAAAGATCCAACATTCATTCATTCATTCATTCATTCATTCATTCATTCATTCATTCATTTATTTATTTATTTATTTATTTATTTATTTATTTATTTATTTATTTATTTTTATTTCTATACCGCCCTTCTCCTGCGGGACTCAGGGTGGTGTACAGCCGAGATAAAACATTGCATATAAAATTTAAAAACAGTTTAAAAAAACAATTAAATAATTTCGGCCCAAGATTTAAAAACAACCCAATTAAAACCGAATTCAATTAAAACTGAGAGGATGGGATCATGATTATGGAAGAGCTGTTATGTTATATGTAAAGAACATAGGAATCCAGGATATTCTTAAGTACATTTTTCTATAATTGAAATTCACATATCTGTCTCATATCACATGGAACCACTGAGGCCCAACCCTTTATTTTATGCTCCAGATTTACTCAATCTAGAACAGGGGTGTCAAACTCGATTTCATTGAGGACTTCATCAGGGTTGTGTTTGACCTCGGGGGCCAGGGTGGCATGACCAGGGAATGCATGGCCAGCTTGACGTCATTTGTGTCAAGAGCATCTGTGGTGGCCCAAGTGCTCTGCCAGCAAAAATGGGCTCCCAAGCTCCGTTTTCAGTGCGATGGCCTCCTGCCCCCCTCTGCCAGTGAAAACAGAGCTCAGGGAGGCCACGTGCGGTCCTCCTGAGCTCCATTTTCGCTGGCAGAGCACTATGGACCAGTCTTTTGTTGTTTCTAGGGTGGCCCCACAGGCCAGATCTAAGCATCCCATGGGCCGGATCCAGCCCTTTTGAGTTTGACACCCCTGATCTAGAACATTCATGACATGTTGCATTTCAACTTCTACACTAGCCCAAAAAAATTGAAGCCAATGCCAGACTGGAAAGGGTAGGATGGGAGACTATTTGCTATTTTTTATTTGTGCCAACATACACACAGGAAAGATTGTTTCCTAATAAGTCTTACGTCACAACCCTAAGAATTCTGCTTGAAGTAGACGATTACTAATATCTTTTTTTTCCTCCAGATCAACAAAATCCGCTGCCTTTGCTTCAATAAGGAAAATGAACCTCAATGCAGCATGGTTGACAACTGGCGTCCTTGTCAGCCTCTGAAGAGCAGAGAAGTTAGAGCCTCATTCCAATAAGTTATTGCTATTAGTTCTTCCTGCTGAGCACAAATCGAAATGCGATACATGCACTTGCCTCATTCCTCCCCCTCTCTTTTCCTACTGATCTTTTTCTTCTTCTCTCTCATCTTTCTTTGTAGTGAAAAGGAAAAGGCCATCAGTAAAAAGGAAAAGCATAGTTATAGCAGTGTGGACCTGTGTATCTGCAGGATCTGATACTTGATAAGAATTGCTGTGATGTTCATGTTGGCACTGCAACATGACATCATCTTTTGCAGATTGCTAAGGGGCTGGATGATAAGCCACAAAAATAAAGCCATTTCTTACAGAACATAACTGAATAGAATAAAATCTTACATGCACTAAATAACTTGAATCTTTAATGGAAGCACATGAATGCATTCTGAAGTAGACATTTTTCATCTGATTTAGGATATTTTGACTCAACCTAGTCATTCAAATGCAGCTATGGGTACTGAAGAATAAATGTCTTAGCTTTTAAATAGTTTGATGTGTAAATATTGTTTTGCATTTTAATCATGAATCTGAACCATAACTTAATGTTAGTATGCTTTTATTTTTCTAATCACAGATGTTAACGAATATAAATGAAATGCTATTATATGTAAAGAAAAGAATGAAGGCAAGATTTAAAAATAATGTCATAATTTAAATAAAAACATTGTATTTTAGATATTTCTCAAATCAATAAAGTTATTTATGGTCTCTAAACTGCAATACAGATAAAAGTTACAATTGGACATATGGTAACTATATATTTTACTTCAGTATAAAAATATTTGTCAGCATCCAACTTGAGTATCCAAATAAAAGTCCAGGATCATTTCTGTTCTGAAAAGCTTGCTGTTTATTGAATACATAGCATGGTAATGGTGAAGTAAAACTAATTCTGAATTTCTCAGGCAGTAGTTCACAATATTAAACAATAAAGTCCCCAGAATCCATGTGGACCATGTAAACAAGTTCTCTGTGTTATGGGAACCATCTACCTTCTTCACACCTATTTATGTCCTTGAAAAGTTTCCAGACTCTCACAAGTTTCAGTGGAACTATAGAAGTTTTGTTTCTTCAACTAACCCATTTGTAATCAACACCTCCCCCCACTTTACTCTAATGACAAATTGAAATGAAGAGGCACGTAGCTGCCAATGTTTCACTCTTGACAATATTTAAATTTCTTTTCTCATTTTTAAAAATGAACAGCTATCCACATAACACATTAAAACAAAATAATGCTTTTGAATTCTATAGCTCCTTGAGTATTTATTATTCATTCATCTATTAAAACCTTGTACTGCCAAAGTCCCGGTAACTGAATAGCATCTAAGAGATCCTTTTTCCTTCTCTGAATGAGGAGGGAGATCTCTGAACTTGAAGAGAAAATTCAGCATTAGATCTACCCTTCAAATGAACTTGATACTCCCAAAGTGGGGGTGTAAGGAAGGAATTCTAATTTGTAGCAGGAAGCCATTGATTAAGCAGAATGGAATGCATAACTAGGTCACACCAGCTTGGTTATCCATGAGTTACACAGTGATGTTGCAGAGCCTGCTTTACTATTGGAATAACATTAATATTTTGTGGATCATAAATAAGACACATTCCCTAGGAAGACAGGCATTTCCACATGTATTTTACAAGCACAACAGAGGTGGTATTCATCAGGTTCTGACTAGTTCTGGAAACTGGTAGCAGAAATTTTGAGGCGTTCGGAGAACTGGTAAATACCATCTCTGACTGGCCCTGCCCCCATCTATTCTCTGCCTCCCGAGTCCCAGCTGATCAGGAGGAAATGGGGATTTTGCAGTAACCTTCCCCTGGAGTGTAGAGGGAATGGGGATTTTACAGTATCCATCCCCTGGAGTGGGGTGGGAATGGAGATTTTACAATATCCTTCTCCTGCCACACCCACCAAGCCACGCCACGCCTGCAGAACTGGTAATAAATTTTTTTGAATCCCACCACTGAAGCAAACAGAGATAAGTCAGTGCCTTCCTAAGCATAAGAATATACTACAAATATGATGCTGATGTCCATTTTTTTCCTACAAATTCATGGAGATCTAATACATACCCTAAGTGGATTCCCACTCCTGGACCCCGAAAAGAGATTTTCACAAGTATTTTAAGACGGAAAGTAGATAAGGCCAGCTCGAAAACTCAGGGCCCTCCTAAGCATAACGATGGGTTACAAAGTTGTTAGTGATATCTATTTTACCATCTGAATTCATGGAGACCTAATCATAACCCTAAGTGGATTGCCCTGCAATGAGATTTTTCCATGTACTTTATCAAGAAACGTAGCTAACCCTTAGCTAACATAGTTAGTCTGCACCCTCCTAAGTACATCAATGCACTATGAATCTATTGGCAATGTCTTATTATACCTGGAAGAGAAAAATGTAATGAACAAACTTAGAATCCATAGCCATTTCTGGTAGTGGACATTGACATACTGTGAAAAATCTTTCTGATTCAGAAAATATTGTGTTATTAAAATACCAACATAATTCTAATTATTCTCTTGCTATTAAAGGATGGTTCTTGATTGTCACATTTGGTTCATTAAGGAATGTTTCTTTGGCCACTTTCTTTGCTGCTTAGTTTCCTGGAGTGGTCACAGCAGTCTGCTAACTATTTTGCAACAATGTGGGACAAGTACACTAATGGAGCTCCACTGCATGGCACCTTTTGAGAGTTAAAATGGCTTTGATGTACAAAACAAACAGATGGCAAGCTCCTTTTGGGAATGATTGAGAGTTTAGTATTTGCCATGTGGTACATAAATGGGAAGTGAATTACTACTGTAGGAAGTTAGCACCCACCCCTTTCCTGGAAGAGTGAAATATTTTAGGAAATATGAAAAAGGCAGAATATTATATTTTCCTAGGATAAGCATGTTTTGAAGCAGCTCCCATCTTCCTGCCCCCACCCTTTGTCAATGGGCCATTAAGGCCTGGGTCAGTCTATTCTACATAACAAAGATCTATCTCCTTCAGACAGAGCCATAGTAGGAATTGCCAAAGATCCAACAAAGATAGGATTAACCCTCTACACAATAGCAGCAGAAACTCACCACATGTGACCTGGGAAGCACATGTGACCATCAGCCAGCAAGACCCCCACCCCCTGGGAGTCTGACAACCAATCAGAGTACTCTTTCTGGGCCCCAGGAAGTTCAAAGCCAGAGAGAGCATAAAACCTGAAAAACTCGCTGTATCTGCCTTTTTCTGTTCAGGAACTCAAGCCATGTGATCCTGTCCACCATTAAACCATCTTTCCAAGCAGTCTCCATGTCTCCAGTGTCTTTTTCCCCACTTGGAGCAGAACCCAGAAGGATGCTTCCTCCAACACTACATTTACTAGACGTATTCCAAGTAAATTTGTTAATGAAAGGATTCTTGAAATCATTTAGGAGATAATTAAACATCTGTCTTTCTTCCTACTGTCCATCCATAAAAGGACCATCATAATTACCTGTTTTAAAGATGCTATGATTTAAATTTAGCTATTTAAAAGTCAGTAGGATTTAATCATGATTAACAAATCCCATGGATCTTAATTTGAAAAAAAGATCTGGATGAATTAATAGTTGGTCTCACTACTAATGTACCCTTTGGTTCCTATGTAAAGTGTGATTAGAAAGAAGAGGCATTTTTTTTTTTTTTTGCAATGAACAGAAGCATGGTTGCATTTTATTTCAATGAATTTGAAAATGGCCTGGAAATAGGACTTTTTTTCCTTTTTCTACAGCGCTCTATAAACTATTTTTATTCTGTGACCCGAATAGTAAGACAACTGACTGAGAATACAACATTCAGGCTGTTTTCAAGGCTTGCTGTTTCTGTATTGACAATGTGGAAAGAGACATGAGACCCTGTGAAGAGAAGGGAGACAATAAATACTGTACACCTAAGCTCTAAAGTGAGAATCAGAAATTGATTTGGTTAACATTGGAATTGAAAATAAAAATATGCAAGGCATTGTGACCTTTTTTTAAGGCTTCCGATTAATAACAATCCTCTGAGACAGAATAAATTGACAGCTGAAATGTATTTCTGGTTGAGCACAAATCTGAACTTGTGTATCTCCAATCTAGCGAGTCCATTGCCCATCTTAAAACAGGAATGAGCAGCCTGAGACTCAAAGGCTCCATAGACCCTGCCCCCTTGAAGTCTTTTTGGCTGTAAGCACACAATAGATACAAATTCAACGTAAACCGCTCCAAACTTGATTGCAGAAAATACCACTTCAGCAACAGTGGTCAATGCCTGGAATGCACTACCTGACTCTGTTGTTACAACCTCAACCCCCCCTAACTTTAACCTTAAACTGTCTACTGTTGAACTCACCCCATTCCTAAGAGGTCTGTAAAGGGTGTGCATAAGCGCACCAGCGTGCCTTCCGTCCCTGTCCTATTGTCCCCATTTATTCGTACCCATTTCCTGTATTAATATCCATGCTGTGTCCACGAATAATACCTATTCCTGTTATCTCATACATGTTTGACAAAATAAATAAATAAATAAATAAATAAATAAATACAGTGAGGTGTTTTCCAGCTGTTTTGATGATTGCAATATAAGCCCTCAAACAGGTTTAATTAAAATAACAAAGGAAGTTCAAGAAGAAAGGGAAAAACCTAGCCATACATTTCCTGCCCATTTTGCATTGGGAATCTTCTACCTTCCCCCATCCGCCTCCAACAAAAAATGTTAAGTGTAGCTTCTAAGCAAAAAAAGGTTGGCCACCAGATTTAGATGCTTATTTCTCACTTGAGATTGCTATGTAAACAGTCAGGCAAAATAACTCCCTTGACAGTGTCACCCCAAGGCCCTGCTTAAAGGAAGAGGATGGTTCCTCTCAATTTCTTCCTCACAAAAACTACCCCGAACTGCAGCAAATTTTTGTTTTTAATTTGCATGTTGTTGAACCTGTGAAGAAAGAATAGTAACAAACATTTTTGAATTAGGAATTCATTTTGCAAACTTATTTTTGTGCATAATAGCTTAGGTGGCAATTTTTATTTTATTTTTTCCCTCAAGATTTGAGTTTTCTCAGCTCAAGATTTCTAGGACTTAAAATGTTACAGGAAAACATAACTCAAGTAAATTCTGATGCAACCCACCTGATCTAAAGGAACACTATGTAGAAGAATTGCAGTGATTCTTGCTTTCTGCTGGAATAACAGAGAACCCTCAATATGCATCATTTCTTGAAAAATAAATTTAAAATAATGGCATATATGTAAAGGAAGTATTGATAAGGTTTTTTTTATTATAACATCAATATTATTGCATAAGAACAAGTAAAAACATATAAAGGCTCCTGAATTTGAAAAATATAATTGTGTATTATAGCTATTCCATCAAATTATTCTTCGTGTGATAGATTTATGCCCGTAGCAAGCCTCCTTAACTCAACAATGCCAATACCCACTAAAGAGAACTTGCAGGGCCAGCAGATATTCATTCCTTAATAAACTTTGATATACACTCATGACAACCAAAGAATCAAAATAAAGTAGTTGAGGAAGCACAAGTGACAGTTTGGAAGGAAATTCTTTGCTGTAAAAAAATGATCTTGATAGAACACTAGAATCGAATGGTGGGCCAATTGGAGATGCATTTTGGAGGTAAATGACTATATAGACACCAGGTCAAAATGGCAATTGTCCAGAAATTTGAAAACAATTCTGAAAATGAAAGGGATTTTATTGAGCTGCTCTTTCTGAACTGGCAATACAATTTATAGGACAGAAGATGAAATGGAAATGCTGATGGTAACAAAATATTTAATTTGTTGCTTTAAGCACCCACTATTACACAACAGGGACAGT